AAAAGCGGACTATCTTTTCGCACATCAGGAGGACCTAGGTATATATAGTTATATATATAAATATTAATATATATATATATGTGTGTGTGTTTGCTTTATTTGGAGCATGCAATCCGAGATCTTTGGAGCATACCGGATCCAAGCCCCGTCCAAACCGCTGCCGCTTCGCGCTGAAACCGTCCTGGGGCATCCCTCACGCGCTTCACCACCAGCGGCACCGGTGGCAACGCCAGGAAGCCCACTCCGATGCGGTCGACAGAAGGACCGGCCACTAAAGTGGCGACCTGAGAGGTGTCTGGAGGCGAGGTTGAAGCATCTGACGGGGAGAGGAATAAGGCAAGGCAAGGCTAACTCTATGGTGCAAGTTCCAGAGGCAACTTCGGGTGTTTTCTATTTTTTGGGGTGGGAGACTTGAATGCCGGAGAGTGCCCCTTGGGACTAACATGGAATGACTAAGCAAACCAAGTTATGGATCCTTAGATGTAGATGAAGTGAAACAAACACATCAAGCCACGAAGCCGTGAAAATTCCAACACCGCAAATGCAAAGCCCTTTCGATGCCAAATCTCTCTTCATTCGCTTTTTGCCCCTCTGTCTGCTGATGATGTTCGGTTCATCGCCCACCCCGGCCGGCCCCGAAGAAGCGGTGGGGGACCCTGCCATGTCGAAGGAGACCCAATCAGAATCACCTGTCTGCTGGTGCGTTCCACGAAGGGCTTCGTGGAGGTTTGCGATTGAAACCTGAGGAATCTCCTTCTGGTCTTCGGGGCATCACCTTTTGTCCTTTCCGCGGTATAGACGGTGCGGGATATTCACCTCCCTTATTATACTAGACATTAATTGCTAGACTATACAAGTTTTCTGGGAGGTGCTGCCTATCCAAAACCGGACTCTGTCTTTTCACTGAAAGACAGTATATAAATATTACATCACAATAATACAGGAAATTAATGCAAATGCTTGAATTCATGGGCGCCTCTCTTCTCCTTTCTGCGCCCCTTTTCACGTGATTGTCGCAAGCCTCGAGCTTAGGTCCAACCGAACAGCTTAGGTCCAACCAGGACTCTGCCAAGACCCCAAACAAACACTGGAAAGGAACAAATACGAATCCTACAGGTCAGGAATGCCTGGCCTCATTCTACTGAAGGCATGATCATACAACAAAACACAGGACCTGTCGTGAGATACGTGGGACCACTACGTGGGTCGGACTGGACAAGGGCCGGACAAGGGCAACAGTTCCTTGTAGGTGTGCCGAACGCAGGAGGGTAGGGCTGCCCAGCACATCCACTCGCTGGATGGGTGTAAAAAATAACACCCCGACATGGAATTGCTGAATTGCTAGTGTATATATACTAGATTAAAAGATACACCAAGACCTGGTGGTCAACAAACGGCCCTTCATCACCTCTGAGGGGCTGCCAGGGGGTCCAGGCAGATCGTTGATACAACGAGGGACGCAAAGGTCGAAGGAGGTGGAGGGACGAGGTTCCATCCCTTTCCATCGCAACGCACGAAACTGCTTTCTCTTGAGGTCAGGCATTAGGAGACTGACCAAGCAAGGCCCTTCTATACAAGTATCTGGTGATATACAGTGGTTTCGTAGATGAGTAGATGGCACTGGCACCCCTACATGTCTTTTAGATGGGGGTCCATATGTTCACCACCGAACTTGGGGATTGCGCCATTGGTCCTCTCAATCCACTGCAACATATAATATATATACTATACCTATCCCAGACACTCCACGTATGCCATATATGCCTACATTGGGGTGGTTTGGGGGGTCAATGTAGGCATGTATTCCATACATGGAGTGTATGGGTATTGGAACATCCCAGCGCAACTTCCGACCACCCCCTCGCCTATGGTGTCAGCAGTTGGGACCTCAGACACCACTCGATGCAGGTGGCGTTGGTCGAACCAGACTGACAGGTCTCCGAAAATGCCCAAGACCAAAAACAAAGGCATCCAAGTTTGCCTGAATCATGCAGCTTCCCCACCAGTTCAAATAAAAGGAATCTGTTAGAATGAGAATGAGTTCCTCAACCATTTTCCTTTCCATTCCAAATCCGCCCACCACCACCACCACCTCCAAATCCGCCCACCACCACCACCACCACCACCACCTGCATCGACCCTGCAGCCCAGCGACGTGTTCGGCACAGCGCCGTGGTGAGGACGATCCCAGCGGCGGCTCCGGCGCGCCGGGACAACCTGAGACGGGGCCCCAGGCGCTCCGGTGCCGCCCGGCGGAGCGTGTCCGGAAGAGCTCAGGCGTTGGGCTGCAAAACATAACAGAACATGACATGACCTATATCTCCATCCCAAAAAGGCCAATATAGGAGGTATGTACGAGGCCATCTACCAATGCCCCCCCTTCAAGGGGAGTCTAATAATCGCCCTGAGCAAGAAGTAAAGGCAATACACCAAAAAAGCCTGCTGGATTGATTCTGGGTCCTCTTTCAAGGTGTGTGGAGTGATAGTCCTTAGAGGTCTAAGGGGGACCCGATTGACCACCCCGCGGTTCATTCCACCGTGCACCGCCCCCACACGCCGAGCTCGGCGCTACTGGCGCTACTGCGGTCCGAGTCCGGATCCGCGGCATCGCCCACCTCGGCGCTGACGCTTCGACGGCGGTTTTGGGGGTCAAGGGGGGGGGGTAGTAGATGGGCACCTGACCTCAAGATGTCGACCAATGGTCCAACCACGGAACGTGGGGTCTGTGCCATCAAGTCTCAATCCACTATTACCCGACTCCCTCAGTTTTCCTGCAAACAAAGTTAGCCTTTTTGTCACGTCGCGGTTGTGATGGACGTTCGGTTTGTGACCCACCGAGCCCTAGCCGCTGCACATTCCAGCTGCATCTGATTCATTGATGAATCCTATTACCCAAACACGGCACATGGGACTGCCACCTATGCCGATCAGTTGGGGTCAACTGATAGGCATAGATGGCAGTCCCATGTGTCGTGTCTCGGTATTGTTAGAGTACAGTATTTTTTTAAATAAGTCTTCTTGTCTTTTCTACTTCCCTTGTGCCCAATCACGGGCCCGCCAGCCGCCGAGCCACATAGAAGGACTCCGGCCGCCGGCGGTTGGGGAAGTGGGCAATGGGAGGCACGCTCACGTTCCTGCGGTCCGGCGCGAGGACTTGAGATGGGCAACTCCCCCACCGCAAAAAACGGCACTTATCAATACTGAATCAATACTGTCATACTGAGATTAGGTCATGAAACTATACAAGTATAAAATCAGCTAATTACGCAGAATATACATGAATATACCCTCCCTGAAACCATCATGGACCCATGGAAGCGGTTGCAAACCGTGTTAGTAGAGTAAAATCGTCTTGCAAGGGGCTATGTTTCACTTGCAATCTTGTTGGAGGGAGGGTATTAGAAGGAGGTTCGGTCATTGCGTCAGGCAATCTTTGGTGCAAAAGAACGGCACACAAACCTGCAAGCCCCGAAAAACAAAAAAAAACTCCTCGGACTCCTCAAACTTGCACCTTTCCACGCAATAGCCGAACCCTCCAAAACGACTACCATTTTAGGACCAGTTCCCCACCATCCATCCGCGAAAACACCTGGGAACAGGGATCCGCGGTCCTTGAGTCCAAGATGGTCATCTTTGTGGACTTCAAGCACCCCAAAACCCCCAAACCCCAGCCCCATCGCTGGCTTCTCCTGGCTCTTCTCCTGGATCACGTGCGCGTCTCTATCGCGGCTCTATCGCCACCCGACCTGACCCTGTGGCTGCCGTCCTCTGTGCCAACAAGCCCCGCAGTCGAGTGATCTCCTCCTGGGCAGCCACATGAGACCTGGAAACGTGGACCGGTCGATCCAAGACATGCTCGCCCCTCGCTCCATCTCGGTCCTCCGGTCCAAAGATGGTTTCCCCGGTTTAGGCCAAAACGACATCCGAAAAAAGGCCAAAACGACCTCCCAAGCCGCCAGGGTAGCCAAAAACAGCTTTCATCATCGCAAATCTGAAGGAGAAAAAACACAACACATGCATTTCACAGGGCCACGATGAATGATGAAATATATATATACACATTAATCTTCATCTCCCTTCCGAATGACCCTCTGGGTTCCCCGGACTGCTTCAGCAGCGTGACCTGAGTTCGGAGAGAGGCCTCAGTGAATCAGTGGAGAACGTGGCGTTCCGAGGCCGCGTTCCAGCTTGGTGCCACTGGGCAAGTGGCCAAACCACATGGCATGCATGACTAGACCCTTCATTAGGATGTTTGATCTGTTGTTCCGGCAAAGGAGTTCTTCTTGCACGGTTTTGAAGTGGAGTTTCCATCATCAATTCCTCCAGTGAAGGGCCCACATTGGGGTGTCAGGGGTCAAGTATCTTATACACCAATTGGACTACAAGCCTACAGATTAATCCGGTCCACCACGAGGCCCCCCCCCCCTAATAAGGAAACCTCGGTCGCATTTTTTCTATTAGGGGGTCCTTGAAATCGGGGGGTCCAAAATAGGTCACCTGGGAAGAGCTTCAAAACCAAAAAGTAAATCAGAAAAAGTATATATAAAAATTATAAAATCCTTTATTAAGCTCGTATCAAAAATGCAAAAAGCTCCAGATCGAAGGGTCTTCCTTTTCCCCTACAAAACCTTCATTAGAATAGTGATTCTTCAGTAGACTAACAGCTAAAGCTTTCGAAAGGTGATGTCGCTGTGCCATGCGGTGTTGCATGACCTCGGTGGCAAGTGCGTTTGCGTGAGTCCGTGCCATTGGGGGAAGGAAAGCCTGCTGGTGTAAGCGCGGCGTGTCATGGTGGATAGACAGGGCGGACAGAGGTGGGCAGTTACGGTTGTTTTTGGAACCTAATAAAAAAAAACTCCTCCAAAGTCGGCAATGTTGGTAGTTTAGTAGCGGCTTGAAAGGGCGGTAATTTAAAAACAAATATAAACCGTATTTAGGGGTTTCCGACATGACTTTTTTCTAATAGGGGTCCGTTCTTTAATAGGTACTCGGGATTATATTTATAGGCATTCAATATACTTTTTTTATACTATTTAGCTAGGACTGGACCTAAACATCTATTCCATCCACATAGATCCAGTGTCTCTTTTTTCACCACGTCCTGCTACCGATGTCCGCACCCTCGGGCAAACAACGGAGTCTTTGGGGGACTCCCCAATGGGGGGAGACTTGCAAATATACCAAAGAGAATCAGCAAATGCGTGCGTGTACCTAGACCTTCAAAGGGGTGTCCACAAGTAGTGTAGGGTATTCATTGGAGACATGTACCAAAGAGAATCAGAACATGTGTGTGTGTGTGTACCAACACGTACCTAGCACTTCCTGTCTGGGTGCCCCATGCCCTAGTTGCAGGGTAGTCTAGCCAGGACACCCAAACAGGATGATCCTGGTAGATTGCAATGTACACTCCCGAAAACTAACATAGACCCGGGTCCAATGACTCCCTGGAAGAGTGTTTTCCTCTACCAACCAGTGGTTTTCAGAGTCCATGGGATCGTCTTCCAGGGTGTAAAGTCAATGGCCTTGATGCCCTCGGGGAACGACGTTTGGCGACGTCGGCGACCGGCGTGGACGTAGAAGGACGTCGGTTGTCCGCGCCTGCTGTCGATCTGCAGCTGCCAAGGCCTCCTGTGCCAGCGGAGGGTGGAAGATTCCCATTGACTCAGATGGAACCGGACAACTATATACTATACCTTCTAAGGACAACTACAACTGTCCCAGGAAGGATAATGCTGAAAAATCTCAGATGTGAGATGGAAGGTACCGGAAAACACCGATCCTCTGCCACATGCAAGTGGTGGAACTACTCCCACCCACATATGGAGCCTTTGTTTCGGGAGTCAGGCAACATTGAAGTTGGTTCTTGAAAACCTCGTGAGGTACCCTTAAAAACACGTTTTCCCAACATATACGCTAAAACATGCCAAAACCTGAAGAGACCGTAGAGCGATGCAGGGCATATCAATGATTTCTTTTGGATGCTTTCCCGGATGGATGTGAGTGGGGAAAAGTCACACCGTTGATGGATGCCTCAGCGATACAGTGAGGAGACTTGTAATGAACGGCTCTCTGTCAAAGGACATCAAGATCTTCGGGACATCAAGATCTCATCACGCCGCGCGCGCCGCGTTCCGCCCATCGCTTCACCGTCATCTGTGCCTCAACCATCACCGGCTCCACGCCGAACGGCGGGACGGAGCCAACCGCCACGGCTGCGGATGATACGAAGCGTGCGATGAGGGACAAAGATGAGTCCAAAGCTGACTGGCAGGTGAACCCCAAACAAGATCATTTATACCATAAACACTGTCTTTTTTTGGCAGGCATGCCAAACTTAGGTGCAACTGACTGGCATCTGCGGGTGAGTTGAACCCTGCAAGAACTGCCCTGACTCTCTTTCCATCTCTTCTCAGATTTCCAGCTGATTGACCCGTCCCGTCTTACTCTCCTGGTGACTCGCGCTGAAAGACCATGATATGCTATGAACGATGAACCCAAAGTGGGTAATTCGTGTGGTCATGTAGGTAAGAACCATGCAAAAACCCTTAGCGGGGATCATCGGATGCTCCAGACGACCATATGCTTGTTGGAAATCACCACAGAACACGAATCTGAAAAACAACCTTGCTTATTCATTGCAACAATTCTACTGGCCAGTGTTTTGTGCCGATTCTACGATGGATGATGTCCCCAAACCACTGCATCTAGCTGGAACTGCAGTTTGCTCAGTGAAGTTGTCCAGTGCAAAGACCGACGTTGAAACCAACTTTGCCCAAATGATTTCCTTGCCACCTCTCTTATTGGTGGAATCCCATGTCACACTGGCAGAGCAGAACCAGCAAAACCACGGCATCCATCAACCACAAACTTCTAATCCTGCTGAAAAGTTTGCCCCCTCTCGACATGACCTGGCGACCCAGCTCTCTTTTCGCACGCAGGGGCGAGGAATCAGTGTGGACGAGCTGAGTTCCCAAATCTCTGAGTGCCATATGTGGGGAAAGGCTAAGCATGGCTGCTCCAACAAGCATGGAATCATTGATGGGACTGCAGTTTGCAGTCCAGAAATGGTTGAAATATGTTGAAATGATTGCACGACCGCTTTTGGAAGGAGACCCTTCTAGGATTTGCTTTTAAGGTGAAGTTTTCATAAGGTAAGCACTAGGTCCCTGATTTGGGAGCCCTTAAAATCTTCACCATGGTCCCATGACCAAGGTGCCCTTGTTTCGGCAATTGTTGCCTCATCAAGATCGGACTTTTGCGCATCAGTAAGGCTGGACTCTGAAATCTTCAGAGTACGGCAAAACGGCCAAAACTAACAGGCCAAATCTATCACAAGCCTTGATCAGCACTGCTCAGCGTCTTCTGCCTTTGCCTGAGCTATTGGCACTTTGGCTGGGAGTGTCGCCGGCGGGTTTCTTGAACGACGCCCCAGTACTACACGCCAGGTCTTGCTGGCTTTATAAGGTGCTAGTTCGACCGTTTCAAAGTGTGACGCCCATTTTGCTCACACCCTCCGGTGGTTATGGTGAGGAGAGCATTCTTGGCCTTGCACTGGTTGGCATATCAGGAACTGGCTCTATCAGACTCTATCAAGATAAAATGAGAGACCTTGCAGTTCTTGTCTGTTTGCCTTACAAACGGAACTCACAAGGAATGGATTCCAGGGCAACTTGACCTGTACATCATGTAGACTCTTGATTAAACAAAACAAATTCAGATTTTGGAATCTCTCCATACATGTCTTAGGGGGGGTTCTAAAATCAAGAGATCCCCCTGTACATAACGGGGTGACCTTGGACACCCCATTCTATAGCTATAAAAGTGGGGACGCGGAGTTTGGTGTTACAAAATGCTAGGACCTGGAACAAAAAGGTATCTATAAAATGAAGATATCTCTAGTGATGATAGAAATGGGGAGTCTGTTTCAAGTCAAGCTGAAATTGCTCTAGAGAATGCCTGGCCCAACCCTCAACCTCTCAACAAATAAAACATACAAAACACTGAAAAACATTTTGTAGTGCACTCGTCTTGGATCGTGAAAATATAGGGTCAGCTGATCCAAAAGGATCTTTGCCGGATGCAGCCATTGTTCACCAAAAAGTGCTTCCACTACAAAATTACTATCGTTCAAAAAGGCACCTCTACAAAATGACAGCGTGCAACCTTGCTCTTTGCAACACACTTGAAATGGCTTCCACTACAAAATGGATTTGGTATGACTTGGATCCAAACAAGGCTCCACTATAAAATGTCCGCCCAAGCAAATGATGTCATCATGTTCATGCCAAAAATTGTCACTACAAAATGATGGTGGCTGGTGACATTTGTTCAATGTCTCTGAGCGAAACACTTAAATCACTACAACATGCAAGCACACGAGGTCATCATGGGACACGATTTTTATATAAAAAACTGATTTATATAGGGGCTCGAGCACTCCCATTCTGTAGTGGAAATGCACTGGGGGATATCAAGAGTCTTCATTCCATACTGTGATATACCGTTCGCCCGTTTGCGCTTCGTTCGACTGAGGCGCTCAACTCCTGCTGCGCCAGGCGCTTCCACTCGTGCGCCTGCGCCGAACACCGCGCGCCCATTCGCGTTTCACACGAGGCACTGGGGGTTGAAGCACCCGACGAGGACTGCGTCCATTTTGACAAGCCCTGAGGTCGGTTGGAAAAGGAACTGGGGCAAGGATCATCCTTAAAGTATCGTTTTCTTCATGCAGGGATTCTGAAACATATAACAGTGGGCCATCAGAGTAGATGGCACAATCACCAAGAGGCGGTGAACATATGGACCTGTAGGGGTGCCAGTGCCATCTACTCTGAAACCACTGTATGCATTCAGTCCTTTTTAGGTCTGCAAAGTTTCGTTGTTTTAGGGGGAAGGCCGCTGGCACACACAACGTCACACAACCATATAGAAGACAGCGCGCCTCTTGGTCGTCAGCATCGTAGCTGATGAGCTTCTCAGCATCCTCGAGGAGGGACTTGAACTCGCCCATCTTCCTTCACCCGGGAAGTGACCTACATGAAACCTGATGGCATGGACCAAACTGGAATACGATTTTCCTCTAGCTGCACCAGTGGCGCAAAGAGGTTCGAAAAATCAGTGAAGCAAGGGAACAGCGCGTCTGCGATGAGGCAGGACTTCCAGTACCAACTGCAAACGATTGGTGTGGTTCTTTTTGACCCCCCCAAAGGATGTCACCACGAGAAAGGGTGTGATTCGACATGATTAAACATGGAGCCTGACCAAGGGGTGGAGAGAAACACGTGAAACAAATGGGAAACTGCGAACCGTTGTGACGTCATCTATCTGCAGCACATGTGCGCAGTCTCCTCGGAGGAGACAGGTCTTTGGGGATCCGCAAAGCTCCGACAGCACCCCACAAACTATGGCAAATAGCACAGCTCTTGGTGCATCTTCAGGAACTATATATTATATATATATGTTTGTCAATTTATTTGTCAATATATAATCATTAATACATATAAGCATATAATAAGATAATATAACACAATATATGTAATATATATATATACATACAGTAACTGTCAATTCGTGTATCTCAACGGTGTGCCCGAGCCACGGCTTTTGTTGCGAGACGCACGACGGTCACGCCGCTGGCGGCGTGACGGTGTTCGACGCACGCCCCTCAGGCGAGACGCACCGGGCAAAAGCAGCATCTGCAATGCCTTTAGCATCTGCGGCTGCTTCTTGGGTACGGGTACTGTGAAGCTAAATCCTCATGAACTACTTCCCTCAGGTCAGTGAGTATCAGTATTTTGGAGCTCCAGAACCCTTGCAACATGTTGGCCAATCCGCTGCTGATCCACCCAGTGCAAGTTCCATGTTGAAGCACTGTACCCGGTCCGAGTCCAATTAGATCTGCCCCTAGACCTGCAACCAGACGTGCGCTGGTGCAAATCGCTGGCTCCGCTGGCAAGGCCGAGCTTGGCGGTTCGGGCCGCTTCGTTCTTTGTGCTTTTGCTGGTCTAATCGAGGATCCTGATATATATATATAACTATATAATATATGATATATTAAATGATATATCCTGAGGATCTTTTTTGAAGGAACTCCGCTGAAGACGGACTCGGCCAACGGAAATAATTACTCGCAAGTGATCGAGCGATGAGCGGAGCATGGACCCTTGCAACATCGAGCGGTTTGACTTCTGATTTTAAAAGTGCACATTTTCATGATACACGTATACCCGCATACACGTTTTTGCGACAGTGATGTGCAACCGACCTAGGCCGTGCCATGCAAAAACATTGAAAAACAACTTAGGCTCAAAGTGATCTTCATCAACCTTTTATCTGATGTCCTATGATGTCCTATGTGCTTCATGCGTTGTCTTCGGACATTGACATGGATGGAACATTCCAGCGTTACAAGTGAAGCGCTGAGGACTTGGACACATTTTCGACCTTGCTCAAAAACAAGGTTGTTGGGTCTAATCACTACCTGCTTCGGAGTTCTGTATTCAATAGTCTTGTTGCTCTTAATGTTGAGCTTCCGCTCACCTCCAATCCTCTCAACAGGCCTAACGGTGCGCTGTGCTGAACCCGATGAACGTTTGGCCGCCGCGCCTAACGTCACCGGCGGGTCCGGCAGAAGATGGGGGGCTCCGCCACGGGTGTCGGCCCCCGCGTCGCCGGGAAAAATGCGGGACACGAATCACTGGCATCTGGAGCAGATCATCTCCTGACCCAGGAAAAAGAATGCAAGTGTTGGAAGAGTGCAGCATGAACCCTCCCATTTCCTCCCACACCATGGAATGGACATGGAGAGTTTTGCAGCTGTAAGTTGAAGACTTTTTTCAAGAGAATCGCAGTTTCAGCTCCAAACGAATCGCAGTTTCAGCTCCATCGCATGCTGAAATCCACCCGAAAACCGCGGAATTTCGGACGTGCGGTGCTTCAAACCTTTGCCGATCCCAAAGGGGGCGATCCGAGATCGTCCTCCCCACCAGGTGCGATCCGCGTTCCGGTCGCGGAGAGTGACACCTGCACCGTCGCGCCTGCGGAGTGGTCATGTCGAGTGAAAGCTGTGTTCGGTGAGAAAGGCCGAAAACACACCAAACTCATTAAGTATGGGGTAGACACCCGGGAGTCTAAGAGTTCCTCCTTGGGCCTTTTCGGGAGTCTAAGACTGGAGATCCGAGTCGACTCCAGTGATTTCTCTCGAAGCTCCTGATGCCG